AGAAGGGGTGACAAAATGTATTAATTCATGCTCCATTGTCTCCTATTTATTCTAGTAATATGTATTTTACCACTATAGTTTCTTTACTTCTACATCAACTGAACATATCATCTAATCAAGTCATTTTTTACCAGGCAAAACTTGAAGAAATATTTTCCAAATATGGACTCCTGTTTGAAATCCAAGTGTTTAACAAATCAGGCACAGAAAGAGACAATGACAGTACCACAGTGGGCGAGTCAGCTGCACAAATACAGCAGTATACTGGTGGTTTTGCCTTTATCAAGTATTACTCTGCTGTGGATGCTGCCAGGGCTAAAAGTGACCTCAATAACAAACTGATTCTTAATGGGAAGCTAATAAGGGTAAGGCTTCGTTCACATGAAAAATCTATTTTCTATTCGCGGTATCTTGTGATCACGGTCTGTGCCCTGAATACCCCGCGGCGTAATTACTGGCAGCGCGAGCCAGTTACTTCCAAAGCTGTAATTAATTCTCGGCTGTGCTCGGAGTGATCATAAGATACCGCGAATAGAAAATAGATTTTTAGAAAATAGATTTTTCATGTGAACGGAGTCTCATTTTCTTATAAAAATAATAATAATAAATGGTGCTTATAATAATAATAATAATAATAAATTGATGATAACGGTACATTTTATATAATTAATTTTTGTAGTATAATATAATATTGCTATTACACTTAATGTCCATAAGAAAAATGATAAAATTTTTGTCATGAAGACTAAAAAAACAAATGGACATTAAGTGTTTTTTTTTTTTGTTCTTTAAGGCCAATGTCATTCACTAGAAATTGTGTTGTAAATACCACACATGTAAATATTATTTAAAAAAATAAATATTATTTAGACTACATATAGATTTTAGGTAATGTTAGATGTGCATATAGATTTATCCTTTAAAGTGTATTTCAGTTATATGTGTTTGATATTTGCCTTCAGATCCAGTTTGCAAGAAGAAAAAATCACTTTCCAAAAAGCAGAGCTTTGCCAGTGAACAAATGCTATGATTTAGCCAACTACTACCTTGGTTTCAATGGATGGAACACTGAGATTATTTCTGTAAGTACAGTACCATGGACTCTAAGACCCCATTCCCATAGATTATCTAAAGATCGATCTATCCCTGTGGGAAGTCTCACTAGATTACTGTCAGCTTAGCCAGCTTAAGTGTCTGTCCCGCCTACTAAAAGCTGTAAGGGGGTAATTAACTATGGTGCGCGCTCAGCTGACTGCAATTTAGCTTGAACCCCCAGGGACTTAGGTCGATCTAAATCTCTGGGAATGCACTCTAAATTATGCCATTTCATAATTCAGCAGGTTGTTTATACCCAGGAAAACTTATTTTAGGGAATATTATTCTAGTACAATAGGCTTATAGGAATCCAGTCATACTTTTCACACTTATTTTTTGAAGATGAACCTCGACACCAGCACTGGGACCACAGCATGTTGTACATGTGGAGTCAAAGTTTCAGTCCCAGCTCAGGGAGTCAGTACTACAGGGTATGGAGAGTGGAAGGAAACATTTAGAGGTACTTTTGCCCTCTACCAGGGCAACAGATTGAATTTCCACAGATATTCACAGATGTGTCTCTAGATAAATAGACAGTCATTTGGCTGTTTTTCCCTATATACGTAATCTGCTACCCTCTACCAGGGCGACTGATAGTTTTTCACAGATATTCACAGATATGTCTCTGGATAGATAGATGGTCATTTTGGTTTAAACTCATGACTATCTATCTATCTAGAGACATATCTGTGAATATCTGTAAAAAAATCTATCAGTCGCCCTGGTAGAGGGTAATAATCTGCCACCCTGGTAGAGGATGGTTTACTCTTCTGAGGTGTTAGTTGCACTGCCAGTATCTAAGACAACAGATATTTTAGTTATATTATATGTTATTGTTATCATGAGAGGAATATTATATTATATTATATTATATTATATTATATTATATTATATTATATTATATAGATTAAAATTTTAATGTGATTTTAATTTTGATATTTACCATAGTGAAAATCACTGGTTGCCTTTTCCATTATGACACTGACACAAAGATGAGAAACTTAAAATTCAGAAGCCAGTGTATACATCCTGATTTTGATAACTAGTAACTGTGAACTGATTTGGTCTTAAAATAGCAGAAAAATTTTTAATTTCCAGGGTCCTGGGAATTGTTTTTATTTATTTTTTTTATTTATTTATTTTTATTTTTATTTTGATTTCATTTTATTTTTTGGATGTGAATACAAATGCACTTTGTTTGCACTCTGTAAGCATATACATGTCACTATTTCCAGACCCAGGGCAGAAACTGACAGCAGTTTGCAAAGCAAAGAAGTTTTCCTACAAGATTGCCCTAGAGGACGCTTTCAGTCACCTGATCATTGTGTCCGTCAGTGGGAAAATATCTGTTGAGATAAATACATCTACGCCATGTAATGTACTGGAAAAAACAGATGGAGTTATACAGGTATGTGTTTTTGTTCTGGATGTATATATATTTTAAGAAACAGATGGAATTATTCAGATGAAGGCTTAGGGCGCATTCCCATAGATTTTAGATCGTTCTATCCCCGTGGGGAGTCTCACTAGATTACTTTCAGATAATCCGGCTAAAATGTCCGTCCCGCCTACTACAAGCTGTAAGGGGGTAATTAACTTTCGTGCCCACTGGGCTGATAGCTATTTAGCGTGAACCCCAGGGAGTTAGGTTGATCTAGTTGGATCGATCTAATCCCTGGGAATGGGGTCTTAGTTTTTGGTTGGTATGGTTTGATGAAACAGCCACATGTAGAAAACATTATTCACATATGCAATTCTTGGATTTGAATTTGAATTCAATTATTCAGTGGTAAAACTGTTTTTCCCTCACTTACTTATTCATTATTATTATTTGTTTCTTTATACTATTGTAATTGATACAATAATAATAATAAATAAGGGAAAACAGTTTTACTACATTATTATTATGATTATTATTATTATTATTATTTTATCTATCCATATTCCAGATAAATGAACTGGAGGAACCACCTGTTGAAGATGAAGACAGCTTTGATAGTTATTACCTCCTAGATGACTCTGAAGATCAAGACAAAATCAATGAACAAATTCTCCTTGCTTTAGAAGCTGACTGAAAGTTATTTTACAGCAAAAATATCCATTATCAGAGGGTGGTATCACAAAAAAAATCTAGGACCGAAAGTTGAAAATTGATCAAAACTTAAGATTGTTCAAAACTTAAGATTATTATGCACTAAATGCATATATTACAGTGGCATTTTACATCTAATAATAATGCATATACACATTTTCAATACATATCATACCTCACACGATAATTCCATAAATTAAGATTATATTTACTCCAATAAAATAAATAAAAATTGAACAGTATGTACAACTTGTAGTGAAATTTACAAACTCGGGTGTAGCTGTCTGTTTAAACTTACTGCTTAAACGTGCATACCCCAGGAAAATCCTTTTTTTTTTTAAATATAAACTGCTTTCAAGTGAACATAGATGTCACTTACAATGCTCGGGTCTAGAATATTTTCGATCGTCGACAAAAATCTGAATGCAGCAGATGATATATGCTTCTGAACGCTTAAAATTTGTGGCAGTAATCGCTTCACGTCGTTTGTTTTGTTACCGCGCATAGAACAATGGATGGGTGCTTTGATCAAACGAAAATTGATGTGATTCTGATTACTTCTTTGTTGATTAAACTGACGAAAAACTTCGAAATGCTGCTGATGTAAGAAGCAGATGAAATGCTTTTGTATTTTTGTTATTTGCGACAAAAATTGTGGCTACATCGTTTGTGTTGACACCACGAATAGAACGATAAATGAACCAGGTGAATAGTAAATGGAAATAAATATCAAATACAGGTAATATTTTCATTGAAAAAACAGACAGTGAAAGGCAGATGATATGCTGATGTATGCTAATAATTGTAGTAATAATTTAGGCAGATCGCTTGTATTTGTTTCTATACACGAAACGGTGAATCAACATAATGGTGCTATAATATAAATGAATGAATGGATATTTATTGCAACTTTTGCACCAGCTTAGGCTAGTGGAAATGTATTGTTTGAACAGTATAATATACAATAAAACATTTCTTATTTTTAAATAATATTTTTAAAAAATACAATTACAGTTGACTGCAATTATCCAATATAGAGAAGCTAAGATGCTCTTAACTATCTTCTGTAACTTTCTCTTGTTATTCATAATTTTTATTACGTTTACTGACTTGGCTGATACTTTCGTTAGTTACAGTGCACCATTATCTGAACGAGAGAGGAAGATATTTGGGTAAATAGATAATAGTTATTAGAATATTGGAAGGGCGCAAAATATCAAAAGTGAAGAATTAACATCTGACACCGAATGTTAATGAAAGTCACCAACCAAACCCATATATAGGCCTTGGGCTAGGGGGTTGAAAATAAAAACACTTTTTGGCCGGAAAAGTGTTCTCTTTGGATTAAATTTGTTCAAGGTAGTATACCATTTCTCAAGTTTGGTCAAAAAGAAAGGCCTCCCCTTTCAGAAAAAAATGCCCTCGCCCTCTTAAAATTGCTGGCTCATACCGATAATAACAGACGCTGTGCTTTGTTTCTAGGAACTCTTTAATCTGGGTTGGTCCTCTTAGCCCTTATTAGATTGCCAACCCACGTGCAACGTGATTTGTTCATTGATAATTAATTAATATGTATGACAATGAATGTAATTAGTAGCTCCAGATGAAAAAGCGTCCCACTTGCTTGGTTAGAAAATTACGAGAGACGTTTTGTTTTTATCGGTGCTTTTTGTTCCTCTTGCCATATGCTCTCATTAATAAAAGCAATAAAATGTGAATTGCTGGTTCTCCATTTCCTAAAACACCTGTCGGTCGCAGCTTGTTTGATGTGAATGACATTGTTTACGTTTGTTGACGTGCGTACTTTTAAATGTATTCACGGAAATGAGATTCGGATATGCTGTAGTTTTGTGATATTAAATCGCAAGTAGATGTGAATATTTGTTCTGTGAATCATATTGAGAGAATTGGCCCACTTCGCTTGGGTTTGATCTGCAAAATGTTTTTGATATATCAATTTATGTGCCATCCCATGCCGGACAACTAGAATGCATCCTCTGCCCAGATAAAATGTTAAGAAAATTAAAGAGAATGAAAACTCTCCTTTACATACATAAAGAGACTGGATTAAGTTGAAATTTTACAGAATAATTTTCCTTCGTACAGAACGTTCTTAAAAGATTCAACAAAATTTCTTAAATACTAATGATGCCTTGTTCTCTAACAAGCAAGGCAACGCTGATGAAAATGTATCCTTTTTTGTTGCCAGAGATATTTATTAGCAAGTGAAAAAATAAAAAGCAAACAAATAAGATAAAAATAAAAAGGCCCTCATGGCAAATTTCTTGTTTTTGCTTATTATTTGTCATTATTTTAGAATCTGAGTCTAGGGCGATAGTCCAAAGGTAATTACTAACACGTGAAAAAAATAGAAAAGCAAACCAATAAGATATAAATAAACGGCAATTGGACGTGAAATGGTTTTATTTTTGCTAATTATTTGTCACAATATTGGAATCTAACACCAGGGCGAATGTAATGCAAATAAGTTAGTCACACTGTATGACGCACGACATATACGGGAAGGCAAATACTAAAATAATGCGTAAAAGACTTTATGTCCCATTATGAAAATTTTAGCAATAAATGTGTCGGGAGGTCCTTGAGGTTCTATTTTAACTCGATTAAAATCTAGTTAAGTGTTTTTATCTAATTACCCCCATTCACTGACAAGTATTAAGTGAGGAGTGAAATGGAATGCAATGTTTTTTCCAAGGGTTTTTTTTTTCTAAGCTGCCTCACGAACATGGAATTAGCTAATAGCCACATTTGCTTCCTTTCCTTTCTATCTCGACCCAGCCCTTGTTTGCAAAGTGAAATGCTCAAAGAATGGATGAACGTGTAACCCATACTAAATGTTCACTGTATCTCTTATTTTAGAATTTTATTAGTGTACAGTGGTGGTGGTGGTGGGAGGGGGGGGGGGTCAGGGGGGTCTTGACCCTCCTTCGATTTCTGAAACAAAATCACACCAGCGGTCCCCTCTTGAAATTAGATAAGCTGAAGCACGTTTCGATTAGCTTAACAACAGTTCTAAACTGTACCTAAATGCACCGTTTGCCCTCTAAAATACTAAAAAAATTTCGGGCCCCGAAACCCAAGCCAAGTAGGGGTGGGGAAAGTGTCAGCTTCACATCCGCGGACCCCCCCCCCCCTCCAATTGATCCTGGCTCCGCCCCTGCAATATAATAAACTTTGTGATGAGGTGATTCAAGTTTTCCTGGTGTTAAACGTGTTTGTAAGTTCAGTTGTCTAAACAGGACTTCAATTTTAACACTTAAAATTTTGAAAGTTAAACCCAACGGTTTATAGTGACAGCGAACCTCTCCCACTGGGATGAAATATAGAAAAACGAGATGTTTTTTTGTGGAAGTGGTGCAGTTCAAGCATATTCAGTCGGAACGTCTTTCTTTTTTTTTACAAATATCGGTTCAACGACTCAGATGGCCATAATACAGAAGCTAGAGTCATATAAATAGTTTTACTAATTAAGTCGACAATTTTGTAATGCGACTACAGTGCGTCTTAATTTCGTTCTTGGTTGTTCTTGACTGGACAACCCACTATAAAGAACAAATGGCGCAATAAAGCTACTGCATCGATTTCACCTGCTGCAAAAATTCACCTGCGACGCTTTAATATTTAATACCAGTGCATTTCCGCCGGGCCTGCGTTTTTGGTCGGGCGTAAGTTTTTGAGAGGAGTCGGTGATAATATATGCAATTTTTTGTATAAAAGGAGGAACAGTTTATTTTGCATTCAAAGCCACTGAAGCGTTTTAGTAGGACAAGAGATACGAATTACTACATTTTCAGGGATTTATTTGAAGCGTTTTCTATCAGTACGCGTTTGCAGTCATCTAGAGGTTTTGAGTTCGCTAACTTTGAAGAGAACCTTGGAACAGGTCGAAAAGGAATTATAACTTTATAAAAGGTACGTTTGGTATGGTATTACTTTCCTTACATTGACAGAAATAATTAACGTCGACGTCAGTAGATCATTTTTCAAAATTCACAAGTATTTGTAAAACAGTTATATATTCGATACAATTAAATCTGACAAAGATGCTGACCATAATTGTAGAAGATAATTCTGATAACATATATCTTTATAGGCCTATCTTTAGCATCCCACCATAATATAGGGCCTATAGACCTAGTTGTAAAGGATAAGCAACGTTTCAAATTGACAACTTGTTTATTTCAGTGCACAAAACAGGAAAAACAATCGGATCCAACATTTAAGCACGATGATAACCTTAAGTGCACAGTCCCGCCTTGCAATTTTCGCCTTCGGCGTAATTGCCGCTTCATTCCTAGTCCAGGAATTACACGGTAGTCACCCTTGCCGCGAGTGTCACACGTTGGCCTCGGAAGCGTCTTCTCTTTGCTACGGTGGCGACTTCTGTGGGTTGCTAGGCGACGGCATGCATCAGGACTGTGCATCATGCTTGTCTTATGTAAGGTGCACTAACGGAGTGCGTGAAAACGTTCAGTGTCCCAATGGACATGTTTGGAATCAGGTAAAAATGCGTTCCGTTAAAGACACACAAAGTGCGTTAGACAAAGATAATAAAATAAATAAATAAATAAATAAATAAATAATTGAATTTATAGATTAATGGAAATCCCTTGACAGTTTTCCTTACCAAGACATACTTTATTCAAGACTGTTGAGAAAATTATGATCCACTGATTGGTTTTAAAGGTGTTTATTTCTAATATTTACCGCCTCGGTTGAAATTTACCCTTCTCCTTATTAGCTTGTATAATACGAGTCTGAATTACAGATGAGACTTGATCCAAGTTTTTTTAAGTCTGTCTGTCTATATTTCTGTCCTTATAGGCCTTTGCCTATTCTTGTATTTATTTTTGTATTCAACAGGCCAGCCAGCAGTGCGACTGGCCCTGGGTCAGTGGATTGACCTGTAAACTGACCAGCTCGGACATCGTGACGGTCAGTGACTACCTGCGCGAGTCCGGTGATTGGCAGGTAAGTTTTTGTTTGTTGCCGTCTCCGTCCTTATTTATTTATTTATTTATTTATTTATTTATTTATTTATTTATTTATTTATTTATTTGTCTCTGGCCTATATTGGATTTGTAATTGGGTCTAGCACGTGATTTTGGAGCCACCTGAAGGGGGCGCCACTGACAGTTTTTTATTCACCTTTTGGCAGCAATTACTGTAATTTTCTATTTAATACAGTGTTCAATGATAAAAAGTGGAACATTTTTGAGCTGTTTTTTATAAAGTTAGTAAAAGGCATGACAACGACTCGGAACTGCCCTTGTCACTGGAGCTTTTTTCCGTACATACTGTACTCCCTGGTTGTTTGTATGTTTCATTAATTTTTTAATTCTGTTTATTGATATTCTTATTTGTTCATTTTTGCCTTTATAAAAATTGTTAGACTTGTGTTCCAAATGTGATGGCATTGTGTCTAAATATGACCTGCGTAATTTATTTCTGTTCAATTTTTTTTTTTTTTTTTTTTTTTTTTTTTTTTTTTTTTTTTTTTTTTTTTTTTCCCCTGACAAAACCACGGGGGGGGGGGTCAATGGAATTTTTT